GTATTAGTGCATTTCTCAAATGGGCGGTATCATGATGAAGTAATGTGTGATGTGGTTCATATGAATGTAGGGCATATTTTGTTAGGGAGGCAATGACAATATGATAGGAAGGCGATTCATGATGGGTACAAAAAAGCACGCTTTACTAAAGATGAGAAACATATTAGTCTCGTACCGTTGACACCACAACAAGTGTATGAAGATCAAATAAAGTTAAAAGTAAGGAGGAAAAAAGATTGAGATAAAAGGGGAGTGAGATTGACCTTTCACAACACTGGAGTAAGAGAGAAATTAGTGATGTAGCTAAAAGTGAGAAAAATGAGTAGAGCCACAAGAGAGAAAAGTACAAGAGTCTTATGAGATGAGAGAAAAGTCAAAAGTAAATTTCTTTGCAAAGGGAGTGGGTTGAAGAAGGCAGTAGTTAAGAATCGACCTATGGTCTTGTTGGTTTATAAGGAGTCATTCCTCAATATTGAGGATACACCCCTTTCTAGTTTGGCTACTTCTTTTGTTGCAGAAATTTGAAGACATGTTCTAGAGGACATGCCTAGTGGGCTACCACCCATTCGAGGTATTGAACATCAATTGATTTCGTACCTGGACCTGCCATTCCAAGCGGTCAACTTATCGAAGTAATCCCAAGGAGACAAAGGAACTTCAAAGACAAGTGGAAGATTTGATGAGCAAAGGATATGTGAGGGAGATTATGAGTCCATGTGTCGTGTCAGTGCTACTTGTGCTAAAGAAAGATGAAATTTGGAGGATGTGTGTAGACTGTAGGGCCATTAACAATATAATGGTAAAGTATCGTCATCTTATTCCTAGGTTAGACGATATGCTAGATGAATTACATGGATCATGCATATTTAGTAAAATTAATTTTAAAAGTGGTTATCATCAAATTAGGATGAGGGAAGGAGATGAATGGAAAACCACGTTTAAAATTAAATATAGGTTGTATGAGTGGTTAGTTATGCCATTTGAATTTACTAATGCACCTAGCACATTTATGAGGTTAATGAATCATGTTTTACGTGCATTCATAAGTAAATTCATAGTAGTTTACTTTGATGACATATTAGTATTTAGTAAGGATCTAAAAATGAACATACAGGGCATTTAAGATTTCTGTTTGTAGTCTTACGACATGAATAATTTTGTGCTAACTTTAAAAAGTGCACATTTTGCATGGAAAATGTTGTTTTCCTTGGTTATGCGTTAGTGCTAAGGGTATTGAAGTGGATGAAGAGAAAATCAAAGTTATCAAGGAGTAGCTAACACCTAAAAGTATAACTGAAGTAAGAAACTTCCATGTGTTAGCTAGTTTTATAGGCATTTTGTAAAAGATTTTATCGCACTTGCCACACCACTCAAGGAAATTATAAACAAAAGTGTAGGATTTTATTGAGGGTGTTGAACAAGAACGTGTTTTTAATACTATTAAAGATAAATTGTGTACCACACCGATTTTATCATTACCTAAATTTAACAATACTTTTGAAATTAAATATGATGCCTTAGGAATAGGTATTGGAGTTGTCTTAATGCAGGAATGAAAACCATTAACATACTTTAGTGAAAAGCTAAGTGGAGCAGCTCTCAATTATCCTACATATGACAAGAGTTGTATGCATTTGTTCGAGTTTTGGAGACATGGCAGCGCTACCTGTAGCCAAAGGAGTTCGTGATTCACACTGACCATGAATCCTTGAAGAACTTAAGAGGTCAAGGCAAGCTAAAGAAGAGACACGAAAGGTGGATGGAGTTCATCGAGACATTTCCATATATTATTCTGTATAAACAAGGTAAAGAAAATGTGGTAGCAGATGCATTCTCAAGGAGGTATGCACTTCTAACGTCTTTTGGTGCTAAGTTGTTGAGATTTGAATATGTTAAGGACGTGTATGTTAATGATCCAGATTTTTCTAATATATACAAATCATGTGATAAAGGTACTATGAATAGATTATTTAGGCATGATGGATATTTATTTAGGAAAAATAAGCTATGTGTTCCTAAATGTTCAATGGGAGAATTATTAGTAGGTAAGGCACATAATGTTGGTCTAATGGGTCATTTTGGGGTAAAGAAGATCTTAGAGATGCTAAGTGAACATTATTTAGCCTAAGATGAAAGTTGACATTGATCGGGTTTGTAGTAGATGCACCACTTGTGAAGAGGCGAAATCTAAGATTTTACCACATGGTTTATATATGCCATTACCTATTCCTAGTAAACCTTGGATTGGTGTGTCTATGGATTTTGTGATGGGTTTACCTAGGACTAAGAATGGAAAGGAATCTATATTTGTAGTGGTAGATAAATTTAGTAAGATGGCACATTTCATTCCATGTTATAAAATCAGTGATGCCTCCAACATAGAGAATCTATTCTTTAAGAATGTAATGCACTTACATGAGATTCCTAGAAGTATTGTATCGTATAGAGATGTTAAATTCCTTAGTTATTTTTAGAGAATTTTGTGGAATAAGTTAGAAACCGAGCTATTGTTTTCTACTACCTATCACCCACAAACGGATGGGCAAATTGGGGTAGTTAATAGGACTATGATATAATTGTTACGCACCATAGTTAATAAGAATTTAAGGAGTTGGGATGATTGCTTGCCATTTATGGAATTTGCATATAATATGATCATGCATTCTACTACTTCTTACTCATCTTTTGAAATTGGGTATGATTTTAATCCACTAATACATTTGGATTCAATTTATTTACCTGTGAATGAAAGGGGTAGTTTAGATGGAAAGAAGAAGGCCGACTCGGTGAAATCACTCCATGAAAAGGTATGGTTTCAAATTGAGAAGAAAAATGAGTACTATGTCTCTCAAGCAAACAAGGGACGAAAGGGCGTTACATTTGATCAAGGAGATTGGGTTTGGGTACACTTGAGGACAGAGCGTTTTCCTGATACGAGTGCAAGTCTGGACAAAGATCCATTGATCATTGAGGGAGGACCGATGACTAGGTCGGGAGCGAAGTGAGTCATGGAAGCTATGAGATTTCTTGCTCAAGCTACTGTGGACGAAACGTCGATCACAACAAATAAGGGAACAAGTTTCATGTTGGGCTCGAAAGAAGAAACCAAATGGATCAACTTGATTCAAGCAGCGAACGAGGAAGCTGCTTCGGAAAGCTATGCGACCGCATATCATAAATAGGCAGGCGGCCGCATGCCTCTATACTGAAACCAAATGGGGGGCTTTTTGCAGAGTTTATTTCGGACGCGCATTTTTCCAATTTTCGCGTAATCTTTTATTTAAGTTAAAACTCTTGTATGATATATTTTTGATATCTTTAATACTTAAATTTCATTTCTAGCTAGGTTTTAGGGATTCCTTATAAATAGGAACATTATTTTCATTGTAGGAGAGGCAGTTATTGAGATATTATCGCAATGCTAATTCTTCTCGTTCTTCATTAAATTAAGTCTGAACTTATTAAGAATTAATTTCTTGTGGCGTTCTACAAATTCAAGTAATGTTCATAAATTTTGTGATCACGGGGTCAAAATATCGTTAGCAATTATCTTAGTTCTTGAATTCAATAATTTATTAGGTCAAACTTTCAAACGTTGATTTATGGCTTTTTTGGAATTGTACTAATTTGTTGTGGGTTCCGTAGCTACAATTGCTATATTGGTTCGTATCATTAGTCTAAGCTACTAACTAAAGATAAATTGCAACATATGGAGTTTGATATGAATTGTGTGCTTTGTAGTGCGAGAACCATTCACCAGAGATATTCTGAAATTACGGAAGCATGGTTTGATCAAGCAACTAAGTGGATTGTCCAACACTTGCATTTCTATGCAATAATTCTACCAAAGGTGATCCTATTACAGGAATAGCTTTAGGTGCACCTTTTACAATTTTCGCTGCCCAATAATCAATTTGGTCCCGAGGTAAGAAATAACCAATTACGCCAAAAGATGATGTCAATACCCCCAGAAACCACACATGTAACCTAAGTCAATTCGTGAGGTTTTTTAAATCCACCGGTGAGATACACACGATAAACATGTTGGATCATCATTAAGACCATCATAGTTGTGGACCATCGATGAACTTTTCCGTCCACCACATTAGCTTCGACTAAAAGCTGGGTGACCATTTAGAAGCATTTTGAAGTTAGTTAATAAATTGTGACTATGTTAAAGTTTAGTGATTATTGAAACATTTTACTCAAAAAGTTGGCAATCTTATAAAGAGGGTATTTTATTTTGAAAGTTTAAGCAAAAAGGATTAAGTTGAGAATAGAGATGACAACTAAATCAAGAGTTTTCACAAATGGGGGCGAAAATAACATGGACAATGCTGAAGTACAGGGAGGGTTTTTACAGGTGTCTTGCAGGTGTCTCACATGGTGGGGCCCGCTACAAATTTTTTCTTTTTAATACATGTGGGACCCAGGCCCCTTGTGAGGGGCCTGTAAGTCCCCTGTAATAAATTCCCCTATACTTGGGGATTTATCCAAATAACATATCCTCATTATTTTTTCAAAAATACAATTTATATTTAAAAATAATAAAATACGATTCACAATTATTTATTTCGATTTAATTTTATAAACATAAAAATCATATGATTTTGATTGAGAGCCGAGCAATGCAAGAAGTATTTTGAGTGAATCTCCCAGGCAGAGTCCAAGCAAGAGCCAACGCTTCTCTTCCCACCAATAATAAAACACGAGCACGAGTCAGAATTCAGCCTTGGCCCCAATCCTCCAATAGAAAAAAAAAGGCATACCCACGAATCCGCAGCTTGTTTGGTCTTTCACCATCGTCCCTTATGCAAGCAAACTTGAAGTCGACCATTGACCCTGAGATCTAGAGCTCAACACCCCCTCCATTTTCAATTCATTTCGTTGACAAATATCAAAGAAACCCATATCCATCCTTTATATCAATTCTTCTGTAAATCTCTCTTCTCTTCTAATATTAATTTAAATGCGTGTGTAGGTATAGAGCATTCATATAAATGGATAGTAATTATTCAGCTATTCCTAAACATCAGTATGTTGAATTACACGCGAAAGATGGATTTGGATCAAAAAATCCATCTTCGAGATTGATTTCTCCTGATAATGAAAATGGGTATCTAAATCCAAACAATGCTCATGATTTAGAGGTTGAAGATGGTGTTGATTTTGATGATTTGCCCCTTATTTTTGGTAAAAGAGAATCCGGATCTGGGATTTATGGTGCTGTTTTCAATCTCACCACCAGTATAATTGGGGCAGGCATCATGGCCTTGCCTGCCACAATGAAGGTTTTGGGCTTGGTTTTAGGTGTAATTTTAATATTCTTGATGGGTATTTTGTCAGAGCTAAGTGTTGAGTTGCTTGTTCGATTTTCGGTCCAATGTAATGCGTCGTCGTATGGGGAGGTTGTTCAGGCTGCACTGGGGAGGACAGCTAGGATTATATCAGAAATTTGCATAATTGTGAATAATGCTGGCGTATTGATCGTGTATTTGATCATAATTGGGGATGTTATGTCTGGGTCGATCCGTCATATTGGGGTTTTCGATCAATGGTTGGGTCACGGCGTGTGGGATCATAGGAAGCTAGTGATCATGGTTGTAATGGTGCTTTTTCTTGCACCACTCTGTGCTTTGGACAAGATTGATTCATTGAGCATGACATCGGCTGCTTCTGTAGCACTGGCAGTGCTGTTTGTTGTTGTTGCATTTGTAATAGCCATTATTAAGCTCGTTGAAGGGAAAATTGAGGCTCCGAGGATGGCACCGGATTTTGGGTCCAAGCAGGCTATTTTGGATTTGCTAGTGGTGATTCCTATAATGTCAAATGCTTATGTTTGTCACTTTAATGTTCAGCCTATTTATAATGAGCTTGAAGGACGGTCACCTCACAAAATGTACCGAGTAGGGAGGATGACAACCATTATTTGCGTTTTGGTGTATGCTTCAACTGCCATAGCTGGGTATTTACTCTTTGGAAAGGATACTGAATCTGATGTGCTAACTAATTTTGATAAGGATCTTGGGATTCGTTTCAGCACAGCTTTAAACTACATTGTCCGAATTGGATATGTTTTTCATTTGGTTCTTGTGTTCCCTGTTATACATTTCTCCTTACGACAAACAGTGGATACCTTGCTCTTTGAAGGACTCAATCCCCTCACAGAGAGCAAGAAAAGGTGTATGGTCTTAACTGTGGTGCTCTTAGGACTTGTATACTTGGGCTCCACTATGATCCCCAACATTTGGACAGCATTTAAGTTTACAGGAGCGACCACAGCTGTTTCCTTGGGGTTCACATTCCCATCTCTCATAGCATTGAGGTTAAGCAAAGAAGGGAACGGATTGAGCCACTGTGAGAGGTTCTTGTCTTGTTTGATGTTGACATTAGCAATCATCGTTAGCCTCGTTGGGGTGATTGGCAATATATATAGCATCCAAAGCCAGTCTGAATGACCATCTGTACTTCTAGGATTTGTTATGTAAGGACAAAACTGGGTGGGGTAATGTCATAATGCAGAACATTTAGAAGTTTCATTGTTGTCTTTGCTTACTACCATAATATTTAGAACTAGTGAGGCTACGTGTACCATAATTGTGTCAACATGTGGATCTTGTCAGCTAGTTGGGAAAAAAGAGATAGTTTTGGGATATTTTAGATTATATTTTCTATACGGGCCTGCCACGGTCTACCTTTTGGCTCTCAGAGACTGGTTATCTTGGAATGGTGCTAATTGAAAATTGTACTGATTCATGTACAAGTTACAGAAATTGATACATTCTGTTCTCCGAAATTGGTTTTTAAGTTCAATAGTAATTGACAGTTTTTTTCTTCTCTCCTTCTAGAGTTACAAAATTTATTATTTAATACTGAAATTATAGTGCTATTTAAATACATTTTTATGTGTTTATTCTAGTTATGTAGGCATGAGTGGGGACTTGATCAGCTTTATTTTAGTATATTATGTCATTTTCATCCATAATTCTGCTACTGATGCAGTGTAATTATTTAACCTTTTTAGTTTCCTTGAACATTTTTCTCAAGAGCTTATTGTAGATTTTCCAGCATTAAACCGATATATATGGCTTTTATGTAAAAAGAAATGGGAAAAAACTTAGGAAACTTGTATATCAAAGAATCGCTATTCTAGAAATGTGAATCTCGTATAAGCAAAGGTGAATTCTGTCAAATGTATGTGATTCTTTGGACAATGGTTCTTTTTCTCATTTGCAGCATCAACAGATTGCTGCTGAGTTGGAAAAAGTTACTTCTGGTCTCGGTATTTTTAGATACAAAAATTAATATTTTTGTCCCTTATTTTTTTGTATTGATTCCTATATGAATTCTCTTCAACTGGATTTTGTTTGTGTGCGTGTTGTTTTGGGGGGAAGGGGGGTGGGACTTGCTAGGAGCCTAGGATATGATCAGTGAAATTATGGCAAGGCAGTTTTGCCTATGATAGCATAGAATGACCTGCTTCCTTGCCTTCAGATTATTTACCACAGAACAAGAGATCCATAGATGCTCATATTTTTTCGTAGATGAGATTGGGAGGGGTTTCAATTGTAAGTTAGAACTTTCGAGGACTACTTTAAAATCTTAAAGTTCTAGGCTAAGTAGAGCTAAGATGGAGCCCATGGATTTCCCTTTAGTAATAGTAGCAATAGGGATCATAGTTAAGCATCAGGGATGGAAATAATATCTCAGATAACTACAGGTTCCCTTCTGCAATGTCTTGAAGAATGATTGTTTTAGGTTATTTAGATTCTATTATTAGTTAGGAGGGCCCTGAAGAGGATGTTATGCATAAAAATTAGAATGGGTCAAATGAAATGAAGAAGAGCTATAATGATTCTATCTAATAGGAAGATTCCTTTAAGGTAAAAAATTTAATTCTGCAGAACAACTATTAGACCTGTTATGCCTCCGAGTGTTGAGTTGTTTAAAGGGTAAAATATCCACAAGCTGACTCTGTGGGAAATAAGGATGTGAAGAAGTAGATGTAGCAACACTAGAACGAAACATAATAAACAAAAAACATACCAACATGCGAAAGTGGTGCCAATGAGTATAAATTAAGCGAATGATAAATTAGGTAGTTAGGGTTTGTCTTGCTTAGACCTAAGTAAGCTCTCATTATGCAATCTCAGCTGTTAGATTTGAAGAGGGGAGAAATTGACCAAAATTACATGGCTTGTTTTGGTTGCGAAGGAACTATTTGCACTAAATCTTCTAGTAGAAGTAGTGGGGATCCAAATGGATTGAATAGAAAGGATTCATGTTATTGTATAAGGGCAATGCTAGAAAAACAGGGCAAAAAACAGGAAATTGCATACAGATACACTTGGCAACAAAACATTGGGGGATGGGAAAATTTAACACAAAAGGCCACGAGTCAGGAGCCGCCACATGTATCTGTTTTTTATCCCTGTTTGAATTCCCTGTTTGAGTAGCATTTTCCATTGTATAAACAAGTAGTAGCCGAAAAATCAAGTTACTCTACGGGATGATGTGCATATGGCATATAAAGAAATCCACAAAATCTCAATCTTGCTTTTTTCATTTGAATCATATTATAGATGGAAACTAATTGGTGAGTCATCTGGATCTTATGCTCTTCCCCTTAGTTCAGTTGCAAGTTGATGGCTTTACATGATCGGGAAACTGATCTTTTCTAGGTCATGTGTGAGCATGTCATACGCGTCCTGTGCTTTGCTCATGTTTTCATTCTCCCTCCCCCATGCTTTATGTGAAGATGAACACAAATATTCTTTTTCGTGTTCTTCTTGTTTTGTCTTAGCATCAAGTTATGCCTTCTGTTCGTCAAGCTGAAGTTTTCCTTCTCCTGAACCTTTATTACAAATCTCACCCGGAAATATGTTGGCTTCTAAAGCTGTCATCTTTTGATACCCTTTATGGGAAAATATTTGGTGCTTAATATTTATTGGGGAGAATTGAAACCACGGTCCCAAACCTTACTGTTCTTTGCAGACTCTACCCAGTTTAGTTTGTACTATTCACAGTTTCAAGCCTTTCATTTTTTTTATAGCGCAAGGGCAAATCTATCCATTTGACCTTTAGTTGATTCAAAATTTTTTTTTGACCAAATTTATGAAGGGCAAAATCCGAATGGTACAATTTCCACATAAAACAATTAAATTATTAGAAAAAAAGAAATAAAAGTAAATGTTCATCTTCTTTCCACCCCATACCCACCCTCATGGCCAACTCCTACACCCCAACCTCCGACTAAACCCAACCAAAGTAACCTATCACCATAGCAGTTGCCATTGCTTGCCATCGCCATAGCTATCGCAAAACTCGCCATCTTTTATAAATTTCATAATCCTAAACACAAAATTTTCTTTGAATTTATGCATATGCAAATTTCTAAAGCCTTTCGAAACCATCCATAACAATGCACATCACAACATTCTTACCTAAATGTTGTGCGACCACAAGAACTAGCTTGATCTGATTATTAAAAATTGTACGATGGATATGGTGTATGGAGTGTAAACAAACGCTTGTAGAATCTTTATCAAACTTCTACTGGAATTTTGGCAGAGTAATGACAATGAAACTTCAAATGAATATTGTCAAATGGATGCAAAGTCAAGGCAAGTGTTGAACATTTTGTCCTTAAATCGAATTTTCTCTACAGCGATGCCTACGGTTGAGAGAGATAAGAGAATGTTATACTATGATTGCATATCATTGGTGTGTTGAAAAGGATGTCCCAATGGTTCTATTTATAGATTATGAGGGGTTGTGGATGAAGTGTTGCGAGCCAAATCTCGCATCCTTACGAACAGAAGCAAACTTTTCCTGTCGCTAACCTATCGCTGACTTCTCGCTCGAGCGATAAAAATAGAACCACTGTCGCCTACTTGTCGCTAGGCTGTCATTCGAGCGACAACTTCCTCACTTGCCAACTAGTTTTCCCTCTATTTTCCTTCAAACTGTCGACCATAATTTCTCATTCATTCAGAATTAATTTTAAGATTTCAAATATATTATGATGATCTACTCGACGAGTAGAACAAGTTGGTCTATTTACATTTGTAATTTGACTATTGGATCAAGTCTGAATATTTGCTCAAAGTTGATTCTTCAAAGTTATACTTAACCAAATTTTTTATTTCTTTAAACAAATTCCAACAATCCCCCATATGAATGGAAATTCCTCGATATGCGTAACATAATGCAAATGAGATGCAGACTCTAACAAAGGAGTACATGCGACAAGTTATAGCTTCAAGATATGTGTCTTGTGGTTTTGAACCTTCTTTAATTGTATACAATCGAATTTACTAAGCTAATTTGTAAATGTGATGTTTTGCATCATTCAACCATTTGTATAAATTAAAACAACTGTACCAACACCTTAACTTATCTAACTATTTTGGTTCTCATGGTTGTGTTCATTTTGGCACTGAACAACTCTTGTTTTCATAAGCATTTTAAGAGAATTAAGCCTCAAATTCTCGTAGAAGCGGCCTCACTTCACACTTATATAGGTGATCTCCTATAGTATAATACATCTCTTATCTTCTTGCAAAATGTAGGTGTAGACATTAAATAAATAAATAAATAAATAAAATAACAAATAATAGGTTGTGTTAATTTAAATAAATAGCCCAATTAAGTTTACTAAACTAAAGTCTACGAAGGATCATAAAATTTTAAAGGCCCATCCCACTGTTTCAAAATCCACAATTATTCAATTATAATCATTATAATTGAATTAATTAAGTGATTACCAAAATTGGTTACAAATTTTCCCTATAAATAGGACCAAATGTTCATAAAGAAAAAAAATGAGGAAAAGTGTAGAAGAAAATCAAGAAATGCTGAAGAAATCTCACGGTCGAAGGAAGAGAAGAAATCATCTCAATTCCTAGTCCGACGAACACGAAGAAGATCAAAATCATATTCAAATCAAGCAAACCCAAGAATATTAAAGTTTTCTTCGAATTAAATCAAGATCAAGTCCAAGTTTCGAAGTGCAAATCCAAGCTCCGAAATTCAAATATCAAACAAATCAAATTCTCGACAAATCTCGAAACTTTGGATTCAAGCTACGTGGCTCATCGTCTTCAAATATTAAGATCATTAATCAGAGGATTTTGCAATTTTGCAATTACAAGAAGATTTATATCCATTTGTATTTTTCAAAATACAATTTGTAACGATTTTTATATTTTAATACGCGAAATCCGCCGTACAATAGAAATCATTAAAAGTATACATTTATCCTTGAACACAATCTATTCTAGGACTTTTTGTAGGAATGAGAGTAAGTGCTTTACACTGAATCTTTCATAACTTAGTTGTCCCATTGAACCAAGATCTTGAAATCTCCAATCTACAAGGTTGGGTTTCCACGATATTGATTCTATTCTTTAGACTCATTCTCCTAGAAAGATGATATACTTGATTTCTCGTTGATTGT